TCTTTCTCTTCAAATTGGTTAATTTGGTCCTTGAAGTTCACTACTAGAATGATAGTTCTCTTTCACTTTCTTACATACAATATCATGTAACATTGACTAATAATCCACATATTCTTGTGGACATTTCCATATTTCTATACATTTTCACGAACCCTCTTAGTTCAGGATCAAGAGCTATTTTTATCATACATTGTCATGTTCTGCTTTCAAGATTTATGTCGTGATATTGCACAAGATTGTTGCATCTTGCTCTAACATTAACATGGTGGTTTTCTCTTGCAAATGGCGCCTTTCTGTTAGGGTTGCTATAGCCTTCAGCCCTTCTGCCCACCAAAACCGGAGGATACTGCTACAGTTTGCTACGCAAGTGGTACAACTAGAACACAGAAAAGTAGATAAACTTGGCCTATGGATTATACTAGAACACCTGAGGTAATATTAAATTAAGGTTCATTGATTTTTATGCTTCTTATAATTGATAACGTAACATGATTTCTTTTGGGTTGGACATGATAAAATGGTGGGATGGAATTCTATTTTATTTGAGGAAGTATTGGAGAGAGTAATATGCATCATTAACATTGAAGGGGGTGATTCTAATATGCATGGACATATAAATGATTCAATTATAAGAGCTCGAACAGAACAATTACAAAGTATCTTAACAAGTCAGATTAGTGTGATTAAAGTTTCGATAAGTTTGGAGGCTTATAAACTAAATAAAAATAATTTAAATATGTTTGTTTATTTTCAAATAAAACTTGGGTTATGATTTGTGAGTTTTGAAGAGTTTAAATTTGTTGTTAGCCCATAGGCCACTTTAAGTCTGAATTTTCACTATCTTATTGAATTGAAAAATAAGCTTTTTTTATATGATTTTCAAGTTCAAAATATCATCTTCTCATATTGTATAATCATGCATGCATTGTCTAATCAATCATGGTCTTATAAGTAAAAAACGTGTTTTATTTATTATTTGTCTAGTTTTCTAAACAAAATTATTTATTAGATCTCAATTATATCATTTTGATATTTCCTAGATTTAAAGAGTTATTCCAAGTATATAAAGATATTTCAAACCAAGTATTAAAAGTTTTTGAAAATAATATAAAACTTTTCAACTTCTTATATAGAAAGCTTTCTACATTATTCTTCTATTCTAGAATTGGTTGAAAAACAAATTAGATTTATCACTCTTAATCACAAAGAGTGTGGCATCTTTATCATGATTGGAATTTCTTTGTGGCATTTCCAACATATCAAAAAGTTTCATTCATAATTTATCATTCATTTTCATTACAAATTAAGTTGTTTCCAGCCTAAATACTATAAAAAATAGCATATAACCAAACCTATCTTCTTTCATCTTTATATTGGATTGCTAGTTTGTTCGAAGTATGAATCCAAAACACATTATCTTCATCCCCGGACAAAAGTTTATTATTTTGCCTAAAAAGTTATTTTTTGGTAATTCTATTGTTCAAATAAAATGCAAAAACCCTTTATACCTGTCACACCCTCATAGCATTGTACCGACCCTCGATTGCTTTTGGGGTCATTGTTTTGTGAATAAATGCATCACCACCTATGATTATAGTCACTAGAAATCTTAATTGGTCTTTCAAATATTCTAAGCCAAGGGACTGGTTAAGTAAAGGAAAGGTATTAGCACCCCTAGTACGTATTACTTAAGGTAAGCTGCTTGATATTTGGTTTGTCTTATAATTGTTATGGTGTTAGTATTTTCCAATCCCATCAATTTTTCTATGTTTAATTTAAACTAAATTTATAGAGAAAAAAATCCAAAGAGATTCTATATGCTTCAAAAACTCATTTTTCCCTAAGTATTTCAAGAGTTTGCAACTCATAAATCGTAATGAGAAACAAAAATCTACGGAAATTTAGGGCGCTTTAAAAGCCTATTTTTGCCTTAATGTTTTATACTCTTATGGATCATAAACCGTGGAGTAAAAAATTGAAATGTCCTTGATTATAATCAAAGCTTCTTTCTAGAAAATTATGATGGCTTATTATTTCAAAAAAATTATTTTGGATATTTACCATGTAAGATTTCTTAATCTAGATATTAATAGTAAATAATAACAAGTTATTCTCAATAATATTTTGGATATTCATCCCTTTGAGATTTCTTTATCCAAACATTAACAATGAATAATAGATAAATTCCCTTCAACATAAGATATTCATCCCTTTGAGATTTCTTTATCCAAACATTAACAATGAATAATAGATAAATTCCCTTCAACATAAGATATTCATCCCTTTGAGATTTCTTTATCCAAACATTAACAATGAATAATAGATGAATTCCCTTCAACATAAGATTTTTTATTTTTTTGGAATACTGGCCAATATCCGTTGGAGTTTTACAAACATGTTGTAAAACTTAGAAATGTAAGAAAATAATTTTTGTTGTGTTTCATAAATTCATGCGAAAACATATTTTCAAAACTTCCAATATTTTTTATATAAAAAAGAGTGTTCAAAACATGTTAGGGTATTAGTCGTATATAACACACAACAAAACATATATATATATATATATATATCTTTTCCTTGCTTCTTCTTATTTTCTTCTCTTCTTTTTCCCTCCTATTCTGTTCTGCTTTTTTTTCTTTTTACAGTAATGAACAAAAACTCCTTCTCTTCTCTGTGTTTTATCTACTGCTCCCTCTATTCTCTTTTAGTTTTTCTGTTGCTCCCTCTTTTCCTTCTCTTATTTCCTACCTCTCAGTGGAGATGATGAGGGAGATGCCGATGAGAACGTGATATGCTAGTTGAGTTCATGCCGTGGAGATGATGAGGGAGATGGCAGTGAGAAAGTGTTATGTTAGTTGAGTTCATGCCCCTGCCTCTATGTTTTTTCTTGCTCTCAACAATGTTGATGTCAACTCTCTCTCTCGTTACTCCTCCTTCCTTTCTCCTCTTTTCTGTCCTCCTCTTCTATTTTCTTGTCCCCTTCCTTAGGTCATTAGAAGGGCTTATAGCCTAAAACGTAGCTGTATTTAGAAAACAAATATTACATTAACTCTAGGGTGTAATCTCAAGTGAGCAGAAATAGAAAACCAAAAATATTTTAATTCTGGTTTTGTGATCATATCTGATTTCTTTCTAGTATTTTAGAGGATGTTACGACTTCTTTCTTTCCTTCTATAGCTGGGACCATGAAGCTAGCTACTCCCTTTGAAATGAGACAATAAAAACATGGTCTGTAACTCTCCATTCAAGTGAGAGAAACATGGAAACCGAAATTGCAAATAAAAGAAAGAAAAATCAGGCTAACTATGCAGATAAAAATGTGGTTTCTTCAATTTCTTCCTTTGATAAAATTCTTTCTAATTTTATCTTCAATCAACTTTCTTATTTTAGCACCTTTTTCATTTGGTCCCTGGTTCAAAAAAGGGCTTCAAATTATCATGCAATTGGTCTTTAAACTTTAAACATCTTGCAATTGTGTCCCTGCAAACTAAGGCAAAAACAAATCCTTCTCGCGTTACTTTAATACTAGATAGTCAAATGGGAATATCTTGAACTTCTAATATCAAAATCAAGGGATTTAAAAGCCCAAATTTATCTACGCATACAGGACTACAACTTTGATAGAGGAGTCAAAGTGAGATAAAATCGTTTTAAAGAATAAAATCTAGCAGTAATCTGATTGATCAAAAAGAATCTCTTGATTTAATTCAGAAACTAATAATGCTGAGAATCCTGATATAACTAAGAGTATGACCTAAGAACAAATCAACAAAATTTGTGACAAAAATAGAGTTTTTAGTGCAAAACTTGGGTTAGGATCCTTCTTGCGGCAGAATTCTCTACTTTCACATTAGATATTCAAACATGAATATTATAAGCTTTTGATATCGAAATCAAGCAATTCAAAAATTTTAAATTTATCTACGTGTCCCGGACTACAACTTTCATGAAAGATTCAAAGTGAGATAAAATCTTTTTAAATAACAAAATCTGGCAGAAATTTAGTTGGTCAAAAGGTTCTTGATTTAATAATACCAAACATCCAAATCTGATTGAGAGTCTATATTAAGAACAGTGATCCCTACGACCCAATATAAATTTAACAATACCAAGTGATTAGTACTTAAAAGTGCACGACCCAATATAGGTGTAGGTCAATTTCTTAACATGTCATGAGTGACAAAATATAGTTAAGATGGTCAAATATTATACAAAAATAAGTCAGAATCACAGCCTAAGTTGGAAAAAAAATTATGACGGCTGCAAAACCAGTTTTTTTAGTGCAAATTATAAGGGTTTATCCAACCTTAAAGACCAAATAAAGAAAAAATGAATTCAGCATTATAAAGACTCCTAATCAATTTAAGAAAACCTGACGATTTAGTAGCAAAGGGTAAGGATAAAGAGAACAGAAAACAGCTCAAACAGGATTTTGAAAAAATATTTTTTTCTTTATTTTTGTCAATCTTTCAGCAAATATGAGTTAAACTCTTATACTCAGTTCAAAACAGGTACACACCATCTCCAACACGTAGGGTTTAAAAATGAGTAATATCAATACCTCTATTAATGTTTAAAAAACAAATGTAATCCTATGAAAAAACAATAATACCCCATTGTTAGGTTTTGTTTTTGTAGAGAAATGAGAAAAAAAATATATATATATACTTTATAGACACTCATAGTGTTTTGACCCTTTATTTCAGAGTTTCTTCTAATGATAAAAAATAAAAAGTTGATTTAGTTTACGTGGCATAGTTTGATGAAATATTATTAGCATATACATACACACAGAGAAGGAACTCAATGGGTTTAACCCTAACAAATCAAAATGATAAAAATCTTTGATTCCTGGTTTTTGGGCAGTTATCTCAACATTAATCAATTTGTTAATGCTCCATACAATTCACACTGACTAACACGCGCCAAAAGAAAGGCATGTGCGCCTATATATATATATATATATATTGCTGTTGGTATAGTGTTGATTTCTATCCTTCCTTCCTGTCATCCCATCTCTTTATTTTTCTCCGTACGTCCTCTCTCAAACACCAAGCATTTAGACCTTGTCGTCCAAACTGTGTCCTTAACAATCCAGTTCTCTGCTGATCTATGTTACAGTATAAACACACAGATCAAACTCTTCTTTTTTTGTTTTCTTTTCCCCCAAAAGTTGGAGTGCTGTTTTTGTATTCGTTGCCTCCCTTTAATTAAAAATTAACCCAAGCAAAGAAAACTTTACTCTTTCGAGACCAAAACAAGCACCTTCTGTCCTCTGCTCTTCTCCCAATACCGTAAGACTAGAAACACCTTTTCCCCTCTCTTTTATAATTGAGAACCAAAGCAGCACTTTATTTCCTCTTCTTTTTCATTCCTTCCCCTCTTTTGATCGATCACCATGACAGACAGGGTCTACCCTTCTACTAAACCAGCTACAAATGGCACAACAGCCACCAACCCTTCCTTTCCAGCCACCAAAGCCCAACTCTACGGTGCCACCCGCCCCGTCTACCGCCCCCAACCCAACAAAAAACGCAGCCGCGGTTGCTTCTGTTCCTGTATTTTATGGACCGCAGTGGTTATCTTCACTCTCATAGTCCTTGCTGCCATTGCGGGAGCCATTATCTACGTCCTCTACCGACCCCATCGACCCACCTTTGTCGTCTCCGGCCTCAAAATCTCCTCTCTCAACCTTACCTCAACGTCCCATCTCACTACCAACATCGACCTCAACATCACCACTAGAAACCCTAATAAAAAACTCGTCTATACATACAATCCTATCACTATTTCCGTGACTACAGAGAAAGATGATATCCTTGTAGGCAGTGGTCTGTTGCCCTCATTTGTGCATGGCACCAAGAACACAACCTTTTTGAGAGCTGCCATAACAAGCAGTGGCTTACAACTGGATGACAAATCTGGTAGCAAGTTAACGAGTGATTTGAAGAGCAAGGATGGTGTGGCCTTGAAGTTAGAGTTGGAGACTAAAGTAAAAGTCAAGATGGGAGGCTTAAAGACTCCAAAAGCTAGAATTAGGGTCAGTTGTCAAGGGATTAAAGCCACTGTTCCATCTGGGAAACAAGCGACAAAAGCATCTGGCTCAAATGCTAAGTGCAAGGTTGATTTGAGGATCAAGATCTGGAAGTGGACTTTCTAATAAGAAGCAAAGTATCTTAGAGAAGAAACTGTGTGATTCCATGTTTGTTTAAATTTTCTTTTTAATTTCTCAGTTACATATATTTTCTTTTCTTCAATTGTTGCTCATAATCATTAATCATATTTGTTTGTAAATGGAAGAAATTAAGTTTGGTGATTGATTGTAGTAGGAGACATGTATTTTATTTATTATTTTATGTTTGATTTAATTGTTTCGTAGTGCTTTTCTCTGTTTTAATTATATTAATCTTACAAAGGGAATGGACAACATGCAAATTTATGATTTAATTTTTAATGTAAACTAAGGTTACGCCGTGTTCTTAGCAAGCTTCGTGGGCATCCTTTGAGAACGCAGCTGTCGCTGAAGTCAATGGCTAGATCGATCGAGGGCTCCCTTTCTCCTGCAATATATAATAGTATGAATTCACGTATTTTCGTGAGAAAGAATATCAGTCAACTAAAATGTGTATGTATCATCCCTACAACTATCATCCCTTTCTATTATTATTATTATTATTATTATTATTATTATTATTATGACTTTCTAAAGTTACCAGTCATGATTAATATGCGTACAAGCTTTTTAGCCTATTTTATTAATCATGACTGGTAACTTTGATAATATCCATCAGCATTGAACACTTAATTACTTAAAAAACGGATTTTATTATTATTATTTGTCAAAATTACTTCATTGTATATAGTCTCTCTCTCTTTTATCACCATATGTGATCTTTAATTTTCAGTAATTCTCACTTATAAATGTTTTTTTTTTAAATAAGTGGGTGTTTGTTTTTACATTACAATTTATTTTTTAAATTTTTTTTTGTCAAAAAAATATCAAATTTAACGTCAAAAATTAAAAAAAGAATATTTAATATATTTTAATTAAAAAACACATTTAAAAATTTACATATATATATATATAAGACATTTTGGATTTGCAACAATACAAATATTATACTACGTACACCGACAGAATTTTGCTTACTGTGCATTTGGTGTCATGTTGGGCTAAATATGTGATAGCAACATTATTTCTGTGAATAAGGAAATTCAGGAAAAAAAACAAAATTATCATCCCTACAATTAAAGTAGTGAGGACCCATCTCCCTTCTGTGTTTTAATTTTAATTGGCAAGGACCACGCTCGTCATCTTCTGAATTCGCATGCATGTTCCTCAAAATGATTGATCTATTTTTATTATTATTTTCAGAAATATATAAAAACCAGAAACTCACTGGCCTCCAAGCTGTGGCGGCCCTTTTCCTATTGCGTGATTGACATGTATTATATTGACAGAAACTTCAAAGTGTTTTTTTTTGTTTGTTTTTTCTCATCTGTTTCAAGGGACTTCTAACTTATTTCAAAAGAGTTTCGGTCGGTCCGCTTTAAAGTTTTGAGTAATTAGTATTTAAAAGTGTATTTTTATTAAAGTTTTATATTATTATTTTGTACTTGAAATATCAATAACTCCTTAACTAAATCATGTTTTATAATAACGTATCTAATAATATAAGATATATTTAATTTGTGGTAAATGTTTATTTTAAATGCAGGCCTATCACATAAATAAAAGGATTGATTG